TTTGAGAACGGGAGCGACTGTTCGCCTCTCTCTGGACATCTTATTTGGCTTGCTTGTTTGAGTGTTTTTGGCCGCATATTTGAGGTTTGCTTAATTGTACATTTCGTAACTATTTGGCTCGCTTGTTTGAGTGCTTTTGGCCGCATATTTGTGTTTGCTTTATTGTACACATTGTAATGATTTCGTTAATTCAGTACCGTAGAACATTGCGGATCAATTGTGTTTTTAATTCGGGATTCGTATCGGTTCGGGCTCTGTACGTCGCCTTCAGGCAACCATAGTAATCGCAGGACATCGCATTGATCTGCGGGTATCTTAACTTTGAGGAAACTTTCCCGTATGTTAGCGGTCATTGCAACTACTCTTACCCGGAACCGGTTCATTGCGATCAAGGGAGTGTTCCAATCTGGTCCCTGTAACAGACAATCATTAAGAGGGGGACCACCGTATCGCCCCGTACAGTCAAATATCTCCCTGATTAGTGTACGAAACAAAATTCTAGAGCGTTCTAAAAGAGGCCATCTTGAATCACCTCTGCGCAAATAATTTGCTTTCAACCTTCTAGCATAGATTTTTGCCAGGCAGATCTTGCATCACCAATATGCTGAGTGTCACGGATAGTTTAACAAAGGCTTTTGATGAAGGCAAAATCTCTTACTTCTTTTAGCTAGACTTTGCTAAAGCCTTCTACAAGGTCCCACATGCCCCATTCATACACAAGCTGGGGGCGTCTGGAATCACTGATCCTCTTCTATCACTCATTTGCAGCTTTCTCTCTCACCGCACTTTAACTGTAGATGTCATTGGTACACTATCCAAACCTAGCCCTATTACAACCGATGTCCCTTCAGGGATCCATTCTTGGTCCTCTTCTCTTCCCTATTTATAATAAAGATCTACCTAATGCATTACTTGCAAACGCAGCTATGTATGCAGATGGTGTCATCATCTGGGGCACAGATACCTGCAGGCTATATGCATCTATTGACACTGTTAAACACAGGCCCGTTGAATGGAATCTGCTTATCTATGATGACAAGTGTGTAGGTATGACTTTTGGTAGCCCCCTCTTGTCTCATTTCACATAAGTGGTACGCAACTTCTTCAGCATATCAACTTGCACATGGTCCTAGGCTTCTGGTTAAATGGATACCTTTTTCCACACCATAACCAGTTAACCAGCAAGTATGTCTTTCTTGTTCTTATCCTTTTTCGAAGGTGTTTCCCCCCTTTCACCATAAAGACTTTCCACTCATTTATGGCACCTCTATCCCCTTTCAGAATATGGTAGTCAAGTTGTTCGCTCGGGCTTGATCCGTGATCGTGATGCTCTTGAACGAGTTCAAAGAGCGGTAACTAAAGCGGTGGTTGGAATACAACAACTTCCCTATCCTAAACATCTAGTGCAGCTTCATTTGTATCCTCTAGAAGTCAGGCGAATTAGAGGTGACTTATTTCTTATACACTATCTGTTTTCTTCGGGCTTAGTAGATAAAATATTTAATCTAGCCCCCGTGGGTGGAACACGGTGTAATAGCAAAACTTTATACAAACCTCAATCCTGCACCGCCATCACACATGCTTCTTCACTTTCAGGGTAATTTCACACGGGACCGCATTGCCAAAAGAGATATTCTCTTCAAAAAGCAAAGCGTCGTTCACGTGTCGACTTGATAAGTATCTAGGCCTAATTGCTCCTTTTAAGCCCTCCCCCAAAAAACAAATAATATAGCCCTTTTTATTTGTTTATGCCTTTGTATATTTGCTATAGCACATTGTTACGTTTATTAATAATGTTGCCAGAATAACTAGAACGTTAGTCCCCGGGCATAACGATATATAACCCCTCTAGTTTTTTCTGATTTTCCAGTTCAATATCAATACGATGTCACTTGATTTGAAATTGCGATTCTTCGAAAGCCACTTTTGTCGCACTTGAAGGGTTGGTATATACTTTCAGGACAGGACAGATCACAGGACTTGCGGCGGAGCCAGAAGCAGTCCAGTTTCTTGCACCAATGAGCTTGGGAGCACTACGGCGCTGCGACAATTGTATTATTTCATTCACATCCATGGACACCAGAACTTATTAGAAAAGTGATCAACTTCTCTCCACCGTCTTTTATAACTCCCCATCATTTTGAGACCTTCTAGGTTTTGATCGTTTTCCGTCAACAACAATAAACTGTTCGGAGACAATGCTCTTCTTTCCTTATCATCCGATAAGCACGGCACTAGCGATCGGTTATTCAATATCCTTTCGATTTCTACAAAACAAGTTGACAACGTTTCCTCACGTAATAATTGCTACTTTGTCAACACAAGCAGTAACCTGCGCACGGAGCGGATCATTCTCTCCCATACGCCTCCCCTATGACTCGAGGAAGGATAGTTAAAGAATCATTTTATTCCATCACATGCAAGACGGTCGTTAATCTTGTGTCCATCCCAGCGTTTAATTGTATCCTTTAGTTCTGA